CGGTTCGTTCCCATTTCGTAAACCAGTTCCCAGCCAGCGTAGTCCAATCAGGCCCGATACGCAGTCGGCCAGGCCCTGCAGGCGGGGGCGAAGGGAAGACTTTACGGAGAGGTTCCCAGACCATGATCGTTTGGTCTGCCTGCAAGGTGTAGTCCATAAGATCACCCATCAGCTCATCAGCTTAAAGATGAATATATCAGTTCTTGGTCGGGGTGAATAAGGCAACGAACGCACTTGTCAAATAGTAAAATGGTCGTCTCAAGGTGCTACCAGCGACACGAGCTTCCTTCGCACCATCACCCCAGTGGTTGACGTTCTTCCCAGGCCAGCATACGGACCAGTGTGATGCGAGTCGACCTCTGAAAGATGCCTGGTCATCGCATGCGCAATGCGGTATACGTCTGCGCGTCCAGTGCGCAGGAACGAGATCCAGAGCCAAAGGTCCGTTGCTACCGAGACAAGGTTGGCTGTCACTTCCCAAAAGGGCGGTTCTCGGAGAACGACTTACAAAGTTCACCGTTATCCCATGCAAAGCCGCCTACATCATACCTCCATGTATGGCGGGTCTGGTCGTATGTGTGCATAACATCTCCGTAATTCCAGAACCCATAGAACTGTCGCTGGTTAATGTCCTAAGGGGAGAACATTAATCAAACTACCAGAAAGCATTGCATGCGCAGTCTCGATTGCGTACCAGGAGGTAGAAATCCAAAAGATCGCTTTTCCGTTTCTCGATTGCAGCCGCACCGCTTCTGGTCGTGTCGGGGAGGTTCCTAGGAATGCACGTCGGGAAAAGTTTCATGACAAGGAGAATAACACAAACCAGCGACCACCAAACAATCTGTGAGCAGCGTAGAACGATGGACTGGCAACGATTTGAGGAACTTTCGTCTACCAAACGTTGAGTAGCTTCTCTTCGAGGACTCAATGAATAACCTACATGGACGACAGCCAGCTGCGCCAAGACTGAACGCGATGGTGTGGCGGTGAAGAGTTGAAGGGTCGCTTCGTAAGATCGGCCCACACCAGTCGGATCAGGGTCAGGATCACCGACGTCTTCATATGCGAGGTCCAACTGAAAAAGTTATGAGAGATCGAATGGGTAAAAGATATCTAAAGACGAACCCCATGGGGGACAGTATCGTAATGACGTGTATCCATGGCTGGCGCCTTGCAACCGAAAGTAAGTATGCTGGTCCATACACTCAAGTCGATGTCACCTACCCTGGGACTATAAGCCCAAAGAGTGACCGTCCCCGTCGCGGAACCCGCATCTCGGATGTCCAGGCCCCTCGGTGCTCCTTGCCAGAAGTCTGTTGCCGTCCTCACAGATCAAGTGACAGTGCGGGCCAGGAATTCATGCGACTTACCTTTGAGTCCGAATACCACGCCACCGCCTTTCGCGCCCCCCACATACCCAAGCCCGGAGGCACGAGTCCCAAAGCCCGCATGGTCAAGGAACGATGCGCTCCTCCCCGCATTCGTCCTCTTCCCTATCGTAAAGCGCTCCGAGGATAATTGGTCTAGGGTAAAGTCAGACCACACCGGAAGCTGCGTGACGAAAGGAGTGATGGAAGTGGGCCAAGTGGATATATCCGACGTCGCGGTCCCTTCGAACTGGGGTGTGAGCACTGCGGGTGTTGCGTCTCGTCGAAGGCCCGACATGACGCGGACGGGCTCGCCCCATATCCCGCCATCTGCGCTGATGAAGCGGATGTGTCGGTTGTGGAGTTCGTCGGAGAGGGGTGTGGTGAATCTGAGTCCCTGCGTGCATGGGCAATATGAGCATTTCGAGAGTGAGATGAACAAGGAAGACGGGGGCGTACGATTCCTTTGATGAAGTCTTTCTGTTGGTCGGCATCGTATATGAAGAAGTGGACAAGGCGTATCGACGTAGCGCCGGCTGCAATGTAGAACCTAACGGTAAAAGGGAGGAAGTCGGCATGTTCTCCTCCTGTGTACTTTCCCGTTACCTTCACGGGTCAAGTTAGCTTGTATCGCGGGTGACGGATAATAACAAATGCACCTTGATGACGGCTCGTACAGGCCCCTTCTGCTCGACCGTTACAGAATCGACCCTTCCTGTGGTGGCAACGACAGTTGGTCGAGGGCCCTCGAGCTCGGGCTCATCGGGAGCACCTTGGACATGTACGAGAAGAGTTCCGCTCTGAACCTGGGCCTTCCCAGAGATGGATAGAGAGTCGATCAAGACGTTCCCGGACTTGTTGAACTTGGCTATCGAGACCGAACTCTGTTAGATCTTGACAATGTTCATACCTAGTTGAACATACCCGAAAAGGTTCCTGTCGTTACGGTAATGCTGGTACTAGAATCGACCACAGTCACTGGCAATGGTGGCTCAGCAGGAGTACCCGTTAGCAGAGTCAACGTATCAGCAAGTGCAGCGTTGGCAGCAATAGCGTGCCCGGTCCATTTCAAACTGCCATCCGGCCAACTAAGGCGTTTGAATATGAGTCCTGGAACGAATTCATAGAAAGAAACACGTACTAAGCCATCGGCCATGTTTGGACAGGAACAGCCTTCCCAGCAGCTATAAGCTTGATAGCTGTCGTCTTGTCAATTTCGCCTTGATTCCATGGTATCCCAAAAGCTGTCCCTGTAGGAATCCCGGTGGGTGCTTTCTCATCAAGCCATTTCAAGTCCACGCCGGCAGGCGGCAAAGGGTTCGCCATTTCGGTGACGTGGGTGAAACTCGTCGACGTGCATAGTTCGTTTTATGTGTCGGACTGTGGAGAATTTACGAAAAGCTGGCGGGCCGCTCGGTGGGAGGTCCGTCATGAGACTATGGCAAGAAGGCGAGAAGCGCGTGGTCGCGAAGTCTCCACACATGTGACGGGCTTTCGCAATGGTGGCCATTTCTGTCGATTTCCCCCCTCTGTGAATGAGTAGGTTTGGGTACACGAACATACATACGCTTTGTTCGGGATGATCTCAACTAGGTAGATTAGATTCGGCAAATTGTACAAGAGCCTCGGTAACGTCGTCTTGTCCCAATAGCTGCTGGGGAAACAATACACGCATAGGCCTGTCAAAATGGTGCTTAAAAAAGACGTGAATATGCATGCAACGGTCCGCCTCGTTCATAGGCCCGAGATTTGAGGTTCAGTATTGTTGTAGTCGAAATAACGAGACCGGGCCAAAACGTATTGGTGGTCGGAAAGCAAAAATTATCGAGGTGGCAGTGCACCTTCCTGTTCGTCTTCACCACGACCCCGACCCATCCTTATCGGCCAAACTTCAGTCCAGAACATGATTCCCTAAAGACTCTATACCTCTTTTGCTCTTCCCCTCGACGTTCTCCGAAGGGTAGGCGACAAGGCGGCCGGATTGCGCCAATTTCAGGTCCTCTGACCGGCCGGTCCGTTTATCCGCGTCGACTTCGGACAAATGCTCTAGGGTCTTTGCCACCGAGATATGGGCAGAGATTACTTTGCGGTTCGTCCATGTTCATCACGCATAGCGTCTGGCTGTTACTGGTTTGGTCCTATCCTTTGTTCGTGGTCGCTATAGACGTGAGCGATGACACCGCTGCGAGGTGCACATTCGCAATCAACGACCTCAAATTCGATCTCTGTCCACTATTCGAGGCCCATCCGGTTCCTTTCAACGTAACCATAGACGAGGAAACGCCTCCTACACGGACTAAGAATGTGTATATGATGAGCCTTGGTGGGCCGTTGCTGAGAGATGGGACGTTGCCGGCAGAACTACAGGTAAGCCCCTACCCCGCTTTTCCTTCCTCGTATACGGTTCTAATTCTGACACGAATGAAGTGCCCAGAAGGAATGCGGATATGCCTCACTGGTATGGCAACCTTGTACCGTAGTGTTGGTTGGACTATCCTGACGACGTGCTCAACCCCGCAGTTGTGAATACAAGACCGAATCATCCATCTGAGCCATCACGGATACTTCAAGTCATACCCGTCGTGGGAGCGGATACGAATGTCAAAGCCATCCTCGGAAAGAAGGAGAACGAAGACGATCACCATGGTGCGTTAAGCTATCAATGCTGTCTACTCACCGATGGTTCTTATCTCACATAAGGCGTCTCAAAGCACCTTTACAGGTAACGCTGCACGGCGGTTCTTATATGAAACAGAGCCAGAAGGCGACCTTCCTGTATCACTGTGACCACGACGCTGAAGAGGTACATCCTGTCCTATCGTTAGCGCCCATCACTCCTCTGCTAATATACTTGATGTTACGCAAGCCAACCCTGCCCACATACCAGTGGAAATGGAACGGCACGCACGCATTCTCCTGGAAGACGAAACACGCATGCCACAAACCACTATCTAATCCAAATCCAGACCCAGGACCAGACCCAGACCCACCCCAGGACCCACCGAAAGACCCCGAGTCTGATCCCACCGAAGACGACAGGGATCCATCTTCCCGTGCTAGTTCTATCTTTCGCCTTTTCTGGTTCGCGGTGCTGTCAGTACTACTATTTCAGCAATATCTTCATTCGTCGCTGATGGTATGATGTAGAACCTCGACAATCGCAGGGCTCCTTTTCTATTTCCTCCGACGACGACATCAATGCAGTCCTCTTCCCTCTTCAATCCCCTCAGCGATCACACGGCAAATTCAGCCTTTCCTCTCGACGCGGTTCATTCCACGATCGTCGTACATAGGGAAACAGCAGAGGGTTGATCTTTCGTCGTATCATCGGGCTTACCCTTATATCGATAGCGAGGAGGACGAAGGAGAGGAAGTACCTCTCACACCAAGTCCAAGTGGAACATTCAGCCGCAATACACGCAGTCCTGGCTATTACGGGAGTTTCTGAGACCTTGGTGTGGATGCGCGTGGATGAGGTTCACCTGCTATATCCGATGTTTATGGAGTAGCTTGTGTTTGGAAAGCTAGGAATGACTTAAAGCGCGTGAGAGCCTGCCCCTCTGAGTAGTGAAGCGTTCGATGTGCAGCTCCCCACCCCAGACAAAACTAGTACCAGACTTTGATAGGCGCGATTGCCCCGCGCTCGAGTCGAACGAGCTCCGCCCCAATGAGGTGGCATACGTGGTAAGTAAGCTGACCATCAAGTCTCATAGCGGCAGGGTGTGCTCCCATTACACCAGCGGGGCTAAGTATATTGTGCTATACTTCACATGTCATGCTGCGAACATCGATGCCTTGCTTCTCTCGAGTCTTTTCACCCACCAATCCTACCTAAAACGAAATTAGTGGCCGCAGTTCCGTATTTGGTGACATATGCGTGATGGACGGCGCTATCGAAACCACCAGCACAGTATGGGTCTCCAATGTCGCAGAAAGAGTTGAGTTGGGATGCGAAGCCTTCTAAAGCACCACTGGGGCGGGGAAACAAGCCGTTCAGCGCGTTCGCAGTTCCTATAGAGAAAAAAGGTTGGTGGGGCAGAGCGCACATGCTATAAAATCTCACCTTTCTGGAAGGATTCGCCCTGGACGTGGCCTGGGTCGCCCATCAGAATAGCGGCAACGACTGTGCACGACCCCACGTCAATAATGCACCAAAGCAACTTGGATTTCGTGACTCACCGTTGGCAGTTCCGCTAGCCTTGGCAGCGAGAACATCTCCGGTGACATGCGCACCCTGACTGTACCCGGTCAAGACGATCTTTGTGTTGGGGCACGCGGACACTTTATCGGCCAGCCTGGCCTTCATAGCAGTTACACCTTGACCCTCGGAGTTGAGGTAGTCGGTGAGGGTGGCGGGATAGACGATTGCCTCGCGAGAGACGGTCTGCGTGCTCCCGGAGACGATGCGGTCGACGACGGCGCCGATGATGCCCTCGCCCGGGGCTTCCGTCGATGCGCGTGCGGTGATGACATGCACGGCAGCACAACCAGTAGTGGGAGCGGGGATTGGGTTCGCCACAGCGGAGACCGCGAGGGCGGTGAGAGCGACGAGTAAGGACTTTGAGGTGAACATCTTGTCAACTGGCTAGATAAGTTCAGTACATGTGGGCTTTATAGCGTTGTGAACAGCACCCATGTGCTGTGATGCAGTATGATGCTACATGTCTCGCGCACTCCGGTAACATGAGAGGTGGTATGACCAAAAAGAAGATGACAATAGCAACCGAAGCTCGATCACTGTGGACAGCGACGTGCGTAAGGGAGCCACTGCCCTCTTACCCTGAATCAATGGTACGATTCAAGACATCCAACAGTGAGTCGGTGGGGTCGGTCAGAGCAGACAGGATCCAAGAGCAGGAAATGTTCAACGGATGCAGGAGTCACCCCGTGAACAAACCGAGAATGATTGTATTCTCATCTTGTCAGAAATGACGAGGTCTTTGGTACTATACGAAAGCCTTGCTCTGAGGCTTCACTGGTGTTATATTGACTCCGAGCTTGGGTCGTAAATTCCTTCTCGAACAAGGATCAATTGACCGTATGTTTTGGTGGATTCGATTGTGCGATGCAATCAGTCAGTCGACATCAGTCTCCACAGTGACTCGCTAAGCTCGACATACCCCACGTCCGTGAGGTGGAGGATCGAGCGACACCGGATGTGCCCCGTACTTCTCTTGCTTCTGCCTTCGATGCTACTGCTTCGACATACATCTTCTTCACCACTTCCTGAGGTCTCGGCTGTTGAAGTACCGAACTGCACCCGCTTCCGGTAGCTTATGGGTCAATGACGTTGGCGGGTATTGTTGGCGCATGGCAGGGTGGCATTCAATCAATCGACACCCAGCCTCTGAATACGAGAACTTGAAGAGGACGTGACTTAGCGGAGGAGAGCATTAATCATCGTGGATGGTTCTCACCTACACGGGTTGTAGAGAATTCGAAAGATCATTTGGGTCGCGTAGCGTTGATCGAGTTCCCCGATGGTCGATAAATGGAATCCAGTGGATGGCGATCAAGGACAGTAGATTTTGCTGTTATACATGGAGGCGATGCGTGTCGAGTCTTTGGATCTGTACCGTAAACATCGTGCGTCTCTCAGAATAAGCTGGCAGGCTTGGAGACGGCAGAGAGGTTTTAGAGTTGCATGTCAGATGCATGTGACTGAGCGCATCACAGGCTTCATCTAGTTCCAGTCAAAGTTGTCGATGCCTATCACAATCAAGTATGAAACCGCACAACGCGCCTTGGACTGCCCACTAATTGCCGTTTTTCTAGGGAGGATCCAGCAGCCTGCATCGTTGCCTAGCTTCGGATATCGAGTCAGCATCTGCGATCGTTGGAAATGTTGTCCAAGACATGCAGCAAACACGAGGAGGACATGGGCTCAAGCTAGTTATGAGCGCTCAGCGATATCAACAACTGACGGCGCTGGCCGGTTGCACAGCCTTAAGCTTCATTTTGATTTTTGCGAGCCGCAGATCATTTCCCCCCTTTTGATGGGCGATCATCGAATATTTATCGGCACTCCGCCTTCAGCCCCATCTGACATCTCCTCATCACCAATGAACGTGAACTCTGGTCGACCGCTACGGATATCATACGGCTCCAAAGGACCACCACTGAGGAGGACATGCATATCGTTTCAAAAGGATCAGGTTCGACCGTACGGCAACACGGCAACTCATTCTACACCAATGGATCGGGGACTGACGGAGGCTGCCAGCGGAGACGTGATACATCTATCTTTCTTGGCTACATGACACGAGGCAGCCTCAAGTTGGAGGTCGGTCACCAACGGCTTTCCGCAACGGATATCCATACCGATGAGATCGTGCAGATCATCGATTTTCTCCACCGCGAAGTTGAACTTCTTCGACTTCAATCGCGAGCGCTCTTGATAATAACCTCGTAACAGGGTCTAATCAGCATGCCATCATCTGTTGGGATGAATCAACGCCCCGTTGTTGACGGTCGTAACTCGCTAAGGTACAGTAACGACAGTTCGGGCGCCAACGATAAATGATGCTCGCCTCGTTTCAAAGGACTTTCCCAAAGAGGAGTAGACACATCTTCTGGCGCCACTCATACCCTTCCCTGCACCGTTGACCATTCCATTTGTCGCGGCTTACGTACGCGGTTCGCTCTATATAACCTGTCTGTACCGCAAAAATCCTTCAGAACCCTTTTCCCCTCCCAAAACCTTCTCTGCTCTTGCTCTGCTCTCGACATGGCTGCCCCTTACGTCCAACAACAACCCATGGCCAACCCGGGAATGATGGCAACGGGGGGGAACAGGAACGTGAAGAACCTTCCCATGGAGAAGGATGGTAGGGAATGGAGCAATGGTCTCTTCGATTGCTGCAATGACGGCACCACCTGTATGTCTTTTGTATCTGAATCCACCATCTGCTGTCAATTGACATCCCTCAAGGCCTTATCTCTTGGTGCTTCCCCTGCGTCGTGTACGGCCAGAACAAGAAGCGATTGGAGCATCTGCAGAGCAACGGCACTCCCGATCCCGAGCAGGGAGGATGCATGTCCAGCGACTGTTTCCTGCACGGTTGCATCACCACCTTTTGCGGATGTGGTTTCCTTTTGCAGGTAAGATCCATCCTCATGTTCTTGTCAACGTTTCAGCCTCTCATCTCCTTTCTCGTATAGATGGGGAATCGTGGTACCATGCGCAACCGCTACAACATCAAGGGTGGCTCTTGCGGCGATTGCTGTACCTCTTTGTGTTGTATGCCTTGCGCGTTGACCCAGGAGGCACAGGAGCTTGCACTCGAGGAACAGAGCTTCGGCGGTGTCCCGATGAATGTCCATCAAAAAGCCTGAGCATCGTCCTAGTGTCGAAAGCGGATCCATTACTTCTATGCCATGCGGACGACCATTTACGACTTATCTACGAACTTCTTGGAACTATAGACCTCTTTGTATTTTCGATATCGTCGAGTGTACACCCTACGAATCTATGTTTTAATCACTCTGTCGCCGTTGACATTCAAGCATCAGCGAGGCACACGTTCTCAGCCGCTTTGAATTGGTGAGCCTTCAATGAACCCTTCATCATAAGATGACCCTGGCCGACTTCATCGAACACAAACTCTATAACCGTCAAGGTCCTCGACCAAACACGAAGTTGAGTGTTGCAGACCTCTTGATACCTCAACCTGCATATGATACCGCTAGCCAGTTCTCCCCCGAAGAACATGTATTGGGTCTGGCGGTGAAGAGCGTTGTTAAATCTGTCCGCTGTCTGTCAGGCCCGAGTGATTGGTATAAAAACGTCGTCTCGTACACCTTGTCACCCTAACTTGCCCTAACCCTTATAATCTCCACATCGGCTGCCACCCTTCCGTTGCGATCGGCGGATAACGACGGAGATCCTGTCCAACGATCTACCTGGCGTCGCTATTGTGGAAAATAGATCGATCCTTCGCCATCCCGGCTTCTATCATTAGACCCCAACCACGGCTGCGAACTTTCGCCCTGCGCGGTGCACCTGTTCGATATCGCCAAGTAGCCTCACGATAGCAGACTAGAGCAGTCATTGATGCCATCCCAGCGTTTCCAATTGTTGTGCAGTTGTTGCTTGAGCGGTTCATATGATTCCGATCGAAACCGCGGAATACGGCGCGGCAGCCTTCTCTGCCGCAGCCGTATCAGGAGAAGGTGCAGGGGCAAACGTTGGACGCCCAGCTATTTCAGTTGCCGAGAAGGCCCGGTCTAGCACGCAGGAGATAACCGTGTCCCGTATGTTGGGAGCTTGGGGGCGACTGAAGTATCAGAGGTTATCAAGAGTGCTGATAGATTCAAGCGGACAGAGACAAGATCACAGCGCCTACGTAGATCTGCGTCGCGATGTAGCATAGGAAACAGATAAGTTCCCGGAAATGTGATTGACCTGATGTACACCGTCCGGGCCCGTCCTTTTGATCATATTCTGACGATGGTCGAGTAATCCTGGCCGAAACTGCGAACTGAGTAGTCAATGCAACCGATTAAGACATAATCACTTATTCTGAGGAGACTGGTGCTCACATTGGTATCGCAACGAAGGACTAGTACGCAATCCATAAACCTCCGAGGCGGGAAAGTCGCTTCATATCAAGTGGAGAATCCAGTCGGGAAGGTGCCTTGTCGACGAGCTATAGTGTAGGCCTTCGTCGTTCGAGGTGGGGGCGCAGTACGCAGGTTTCGGAAGGTCGTAGACGCCCGAATGTTCAAAAAAGAAGGGCTTGAACACCGAAGTTCCATTGAATGTGCTCGACCACGCCTGATAGTTAACAGCCGAGCAGGAGCAGAATAGTCAATGCGACCAATCCACACTTCAAAGATGAGTAATTCATGGGCTACTCACATCGGGGCTCCAGCATCGTTCCTCCTAATCCCGTGAGCCTGACGACCTTGAGGAGGTCTGCTTCTAGCGTGTACCTCCTCTGCTGTCACGAACGCAAACGGAGGTGACACGCCTCGGCCATCGACCTACATAACACGTTCCCTGTTTTTTTTTTCTGGGAACGGGCGGAAGCATCCCAGCAACCGGAGTCGAAGAAAATTCGAAAAAGACATACGTGTCGTTTTTCATTGACAACTGTGAGATTCGAACTCACGCCCCGAAAGACCAGATAAGGTTCGTAAGAATCCTGATTCTGGCGCCTTAGACCGCTCGGCCAAGTTGCCTTATGGTCACTGATCCTGATATACGCAACATCCTGCCAGGGAAAGTTCCGCCAGTTCAGCATCCCTCGAAGAGTATACACCCGTCCTTGGACCTTGGCACGAATACTTAATAATAATATAGACATGAGGCACGGACACGATATGGAATCATGAGAGTCGCGAACTCAATAGCCCGTGTAAGACCATACCCCAAAACCGGACGACGACCATGTCCCCAGGCCCAGATGCCCAAGCCCAAGTCCCAGATAAATAACCGAAATAAAAAAGAGAGAACAATTACAACGAGACATAACTCTATAATCAAGCATAATAAATCAAACCCACCCCCCCCCTCCCAAACCTAATGCGTCGACTCCGTCGGACTAATCCCCTTCTCCTCCCTCTCCTCTTTCTCCTTATCCTCCCCCCTCCCCTGCCCCCTCCCAAAATTCTGATGCTCCGGCTCCCTCCCCCCACCCACCGCCCCACCAGCCCCGACATCGACGGCATGCCCCAACTCCTGCTCAAGCCCCACATAATCATACGCAAACTCGCCCATCTCCGCGTCGTCCACCCCGAGTATCTCTGTTTCTTCTGTGCCGCGGAGGGAGAGGCCTGGGATGAGGTGCATTGTCCATAGGATGAGGGTCTGTGCCACGAGATAAGCGTGTTAGAGTTGGTACAGGGAGAATGAAGGAGAAGGGAGAGAGCACGCACAGTCACAACGAACGAATACCCCAACCCCGCCATCGAATCCGCCACCTGATAACCCAGCTGCACCCAATGGTGGTCGAACCACCCCCCTTTTATGGCTGTGAACCCGTCGAAAGAGGCTACGGACGCTTGTGCGAAGAGGGCGGTCATGATGTTGCCTACGATGCCGCCTATTGCGTGGGATGCGAAGATCTACGTGGGAGGGAGGGAGGGGGGTGGTTAGCGTGGGGTAAAAAGGTGAAGGGAGGAAGGGGGGGAAGAAAGGGAAGGAAGGGAAGGAACGCACGTCGAGGGCATCGTCGTACCCCGCGATGAACTTGAGTTGCGTGGCAAAGTTACACGCTGTGCCCGCTACGAAGCCGAATGCCACCGCTGCGGCTGCAAATCGGAAGCTATGATCAGGAAAAGGAGGGAAGAGGGGTCAAAGGGACACGCACGAGCGCCGACGAAACCAGAGGCAGGGGTGATAGCGACGAGCCCTGAGATGGCACCGGAGCAGAACCCGACGGCGCTCCACTTTCTCTCCAGTCTATAATCCTATTCCAAGCGTCAGCTCATCCAAAAAACAAGACAGAGAGAGCCAAAAGGAGAGAAGCAAACCCACCCAAAGCATCCACGTCACCCCCCCCACACTAGCCGCCAAATTCGTCACCACACACGCCTGCGCCGCCCTCAAATTCGCCGACAACGCGCTCCCCCCATTAAACCCAAACCACCCAAACCACAAAAGCACCGTCCCCAGCACCACATACGTCACATTCTGCGGTCCATACGCCAACCTCGGTGTCCCATACCCCCTCCTCTTGCCGAGGAATATGGAGAGGGCGAGGGCGGCGGTGCCGGAGGAGATGTGCACGGGGGTGCCGCCGGCGAAGTCGAGGCCGCCCATGAGGAAGGACCAGCCGGTGGGGGACCAGGTCCAGCAGGCGATGGGGTCGTAGACGAGGGTGGACCAGATGAAGACGAAGAGGAGGAGGGGGCCGAGGCGGCCGCGCTCGGCGATGGCGCCGATGGCGATGGCGGGGCTGTGGAGTGAGGTTGGGTTAGATGGGGAGAGAGGGGAAGGAGAGGGATGTTACGTGATGGCGGCGAACATGCATTGGTAGATGCAGAAGACGAGGGCGGGGATACGGGGGCTGCCGACTGAGGGCTCGGCGAGCACGCCCTTTAGGGCGAAGTATTCTGTTAAGGGGGGGATTAGGAGATGACGAGGAGGGGAGGGGGAGTACGCACTCAGGTTCCCGATGAACTTGCTCCCCGTCTCGCTAAACGCCAGCGAGTATCCCCAGAAGAACCACTACGATAGTTGCTTGGTCAGAGAGGGCTGTATAAGAGGGAAGAAAAGACGCACTTGGAAGGAGACGACAGCGACGGAGATCATGCTCGTCCATATCATCGACAGCGCGTTTTTCCGGCGCAGGAGGCCGGAGTAGAAGAAGCCGAGGCCTGGGATCATGAGCCAGACGAGGGCGGTGGATGCGAGGACCCATGCGATGTCGCCGAGGTTGTAGATCACGGTGTCGCCCGCCGCGTCGACATAGCTCATGTCCCCCGCTGTACCCATGAGAAGTTAGAAATAAAACTCGAAGAAATAGAGGGCACGCACAAGTAGGGGTGTAGTTGAAGCTGACCATGTTGAGAGACGGGAGGGGTCGTTTTCGGCGGAGTCAGACCCGCGCGGCGATGTTTTATAGAGTGCCATGGGATATCCAGCCTAAAGTTGAGATTGTGGCGCGTACCACACACTTGCGATAAGCGCTCGCTGACATATTTGTTCCCAGGCTCCTTTTATCGTCCAATCACAGAGGTGTGGAATGCTTATCTTCAAGACATACCCCTCCTGGAAGGGGTATTCAGGTGAGAGACACGGTTCTTCATTCAGAGTTGTGCATAGGCTTGGCGGGGGACTGGAACGATACGGCGGCGAGTACGATGTTTCAATTTGAAGAGGCGATGAACTTGTTGTGCGTTTGCCTAATACGCGTTTGCTTGCCTGTGTCTACCGTGGAGGAGCGCTCGGGACTCGGGAGCTTGTTACGGTCGTTATGCTAGTCTGGCCCCTTATCGCTCTCCCGAACGCGTGCCTAGCAGCCCCTACCGACGGCCGAGCGGGCCACTCCAATATCTGCGGTGCCTCCATGATTCGTCCTTACGCGGATAAGACCTTCGCCTGTTGAGCCCTGACAGAGATATGGATATGAATTGGATGAGCGTCTTCAAATTCGGGGGCAGTGAACACCCTTCGCAACTGTCGACGTCGTTTGAGGTCGTGAGATGCTACCTACCACATATTGACGAGTCCAGCGAGGAGGAAATTTCGAAAAGTTACTGTCCGTCGTGGCATCCACGCGCGCTTTTTATTGCTGTTGGAGTGATAGGAACCGTGTGCTCGTATGGTAATTGATACGGGAGATAAGGAATTTCTACTCCCCAAGCATAGCCGGGGTACGCGATAACGCGATCTCCAGATACGTAACACCCCGCAATGTGCCCAATCTCGAGAAAAGAGTAAGGAGGAAGGCGAACGCGCCAACTTGAAAAAGTCGCGTGCTAAGAAAAGACCGTGCTTCCCTCAATTACTTCCAACACCGTAAAATCCGGGGGAAGCATCATATTCATAAAACGTGGCTGAACCCCGACGTATCGAAGACCATCGAAGACTCCCCCCACGACGCGTGAGTCCAGATAAGAAGCCCCACGCCCGAAAAAGGTGGACAGAAGCCAGGCAGGCGCGGTCCCAAATTTAGAACCCCCCGCTTTGTCGTTGTTGCACCTCACCGCCTCCGCCAAGCTTAACCACACAAACCCACAAAAAATCACCCGTCACCGTCCCCGTCTTCTCCAACGCGACTGGCAATGGCGAGCCTCCCACTCGCAGCGCGCCATCTCCGGCTCCTCCGGACCAGGCCCGTATCCATATGCAGTACCCGTGCTCGCGGTCTCCACCTCACCCCCGTCGGTTCGTACCTTATTTTTGCGTGACGGAAGAGGAAGGTCTAACGCAGCATGTTGAATAGTGCATAAAAAGAAGGCGAACGTGGAGATTGATGATTTATTTTCGGACGAGGTGGAAGAGGACCTCATTCAAAGCGTCTCCCCCTCTCCCAAAGCCTCTTCCTCACCCAAACCCCAAGCGCAAGCCAAATCCTCCAGCACACTCAAATCCACCACCACCCCCTCTGCCTCTGCCTCCACCCCCTCACCCACCCCTTCACCCAAAGAACCCACCAAACCCAAACGCCCCCGCCTCTCCCCCAAATCCCGCAGCGCCCGCTTCGACGCCCTCACCGCCTTCATCGTCCCCCGGCTCGGGCGCAAGCCTTCCGTGAAAATGCCCATGGTGAAGAAAGGTGCTTGGGCGCAGCTGCTGCAGCTCGCGACGACGGAGGCGCAGCTTGCACAGGTGGCGGAGATGTTCCCGGGGTGGAGGGAGAGTGGGAATGAGTTCGATGAGGCGTTCGGGGAGGCTTTCGTCCGTACGTTCCTTCCTCCCCTCACCTAAAATAAAAAGTACGAACACTAACTCCGAACCCCACCCGATACAGGCCGCTGCGAAGAACTCTCCACCCCCCTCCTCGCCCTCCGCATCTTCGGCTCCTATGCCAAATACACCCTCCCCCTCTCCCTCCCAGCCGCCCAACACCTCCTGCACTCCCTGCACACGCACCACCCCCTGCCCTCCGTCATGACCGCCGCCGCTCTGTACCCCATCTACGGGCTGGGGAAGGTGGAGGAGGACCTGGTGGGGTGTACCCTGGTGATGGCGGCGTGCTTTAGGGAGGGGGGGAGGGAGGCGGTGGGGGTGGGGAGGGGGCTGGTGCCGTGTTTGGAGAGGCTGTTGAAGAGGGATGGGAGGAGGGGGAGGAAGGTGGGGGAAGGGGAGAGGGAGGGGAGGGAGGAGAGGAGGGAGGTGTGGGTGAAGTGGGCGTTGGGGAAGGTGGATAAGGCGTTGGTTGTAATGGGGGGTGGGGAGAGGGTGGATTGGTTGAGTATGTGGAGGGAGAGGAGGGGGCATATTGCTTCTACGAGTAAATTCTGAAATAATCTGCGTTTCTTTTGAATTGATATCGTTTTTTTACATGGGGAGAGGTGGGGTGGGACGGCGGGAGTGAGCCTTATCGAACTTCGCCTCGTTCTACCCCAGCCCTATTGGTGTAACTGCAGCACACCCTGTCTCCATAAGACTGAGTTACTGAAATTGCATCGGGGAGGAGCTCGTTCAACTCGGGCGCAGGGCATAGTCCACGGCGATCGTTTTGGCTGGGCTTTATAACTTTTCAGACACCCGAGCCTTGTCGTCTGCAACTTGCAAGCAACCGGGCGCTGCAGGTCGCCTACAGCTCGGATGGGCACGTTTCCATGTAGCCCCGCTGGTGTACCTGGTATAGCACGCCCTGGCTACGTGCACTTTCAGTTCCCATGTTTACTATCAGGGAGGAGCTCGTTCGATTCGGGCGCGGGGCATAGCTCCGATGTATGACATCCTGTTTTGGCTCGAGTTTCAGCATACCATTCAACATCCTCGCAGTAATGGGGGCGGCATGCGCACGTTTCCGTGTTGCCCCGCTGGTGTACCTAGTATAGCACACCCCGTATACGTGTACCTCCACTTATCAGGCTTAGGGAGGAGCTCGTTCAATTCGGGCGCGGGGCATCCTAGCTGTGTTGACAAAAAATATCCTGTTTTTGCTCGAGTTTCAGCACACATGGGACATCCTCGCAGTAATGGGGGCGGCATGCACAGGGTTCCGTGTAGCCCCGCTGGTGTACCTGGTATAGCACGCCCCGTATACGTGTACTTCCACTTATCACGCTTAGGGAGGAGCTCGTTCGATTCGGGCGCGGGGCATCCTAGCTGTGTTGACATACAACATCCTGTTTTGGCTCGAGTTTCGGCGCGAGATACGAGTGAGCAGCGCACTCATGTAGCCGCCCCGCTGGTGTAATGGCAGCACGCCCTACCGCTATGTGTACGCACACGACCGAGTCATTGGGGCGGAGCTCGTTCGACTCGAGCGCGGGGCATAACTGGTGGGCGCCGGAATCTGGTCCAAGTTTTGTCTGGGGTGGGGAGCTGAATGTTGGACGGTTTAGAGGGCGGGGTCTGTATCATGGATCGCTGGCATTCCTAGCTGCTATGGGATCGGTGGTGGCGAGCGTCCGTAGCCGTTCGAATGATGGGGTGCCATGGGATAAAGCAGGTGAATTTGCGGGCGGCTGTCCTATCGCATCGAACATGTACACTCTGTGTCATCATCTATGCTATATGTATCGCTACCTGTATCTTGGTCCTCCCAGGGAATTAAAATAAACAGAGGGGCCTCATCCTCAGAACTTGAAGTCGACGTCACTGAGAATAGGCCCGAGATTGGCGTCAAAGTTGAAAGATAGGCGTCGGAAAGCAGCTCGTGTCTTCCGCCTCGTTATGAGTTACGGACCAGAGAGATGAAAACGTGGTTATCCAGCGGTTTCTTGTCCGCTATAGTAGTCGGCCAACGATCAAAGGCGTCCTCATCGTGGTGCGGGATTTGCCGAACATTTTCATCTTCTTACCATGATCATGCTCTCGAGTCCCAGTTGCAACGTTGTAGCGCCGCCAGCCCCGATGAACTCAAGCCTAACTGCTATAACATGACTTTGTTTGTCACATCGAACGATTGGTTGGAAGACTCCCAGAAACAGCGCGCGTTGTTGAAGGTTCTCCCATCACTGGTCTCCGAGATCAACGCACCCATATCTGCCTCGAACATCAGTAACGCCGATGTTGACCCGCAACCAGACTCGCTTGCACTGGAGAATTACCTCGAGTTGTGCCGGCCCCATGGATAGTCCGATCTCGCGCCAAATACAACGCGCCTCGATGGCGGTCGATAGTCTTGTGGCCACGAACCTTGGTTATAGCCTTCTACGCAGTTGTGATAGAAGACAGGGCGTCGGCGAAACATGTCTAGATATCACATATTCCGCATGTTGCTCATGAATCTACTAGACGACATCGCTCCATAAAAGTTGGTCAAATGACTAAAAAGCCGCACTGCCCGCGTTCCTAGTGAGATACATTCGGCATACGCTTATTTCCTTTGCATTGATCGCGATGTTTCGCCATAGGATCATGAATTTTGGAATACACCGGGTATTTAAATGCTGGGCTCTTTGACACGGAGGACCCTTCCTGATCCTTGCGTAGGAACTCGTCATCTCTACTCCAAGTGAGATGCTCGTGAAGAACTTATTAGCCCTTAGCACTTGTGTTTCTCTGGGCTTGGCTGCGACGCCATGGGTGAGTTTTCAAATACATCGAGGAACTTTCACTCATTCCTCACTGTAAAGCCGTTCGATCTAACAACCATATCTGCGCCTGATGGGTCTGTGACGGCGAAGTTTGTGTCATTTGGCGCAACTTTGACCGAGTTGTGGGTCAAAGACAAGAACGGGAAGCTCAGAGATGTCGTTCTCGGATATGACGACAATGTGCGTTCATGTGGTCCGATTCCAATTCTCTGTTAATGAGGTTTTAGTCCCGCCTCCTCACCGATCCAGATCATCCAGTTTTCAACCCTATTGTCGGCCGGTAAGTCAATTTATTCTTATTTCTGTATCTATTCAGAGCTTTGTGTCTAACAGTTACGCGAACCGCCTGAAGAACGGTGAGCATCTGTATTTTTATTGTGTTACGTTGCACGTCCTAAGGAATAACAAGGAACTTTCTCAATCCCCATTACCAAGCTTCCACAACCAGACGGACCCAACGTCTACCATATCCCCACTAACGACCATGACGGTATGAAGTTTTTTCCGAATTCTCTCTCGTCATTTCATCATGATGAACTTGTGTTCAGGACAGGCTAGTTTTCTCCGGAAACCCAGCGTTCGGTAAATTTCTAATCTTAAGTCGCTTCAGGTCACTCTCCATGGAGGTATTTATGGGTGGGATCGTCGCAACTGGACTCTGGTGTCCAAGACACCTACGAGCGTCACCTACAAACATCTCGACGCTGCAGATGAGGGTTTCCCCGGGAATGTCACCGCATTCGTAAGTCTACACCTCCAAATAGCGCCTCCACGGTGTGATAATAATGCTATCCGCGAAATAGGCTACCCATACGGTCACCAATGGCGGAGTGCTGAAGACCGTAGTTCGTGCAACTGCTACCGAGAAGGTTAGATCACAACTACTTCGCCCTTGCTCATCGCCGAACGACTTATGCAGACTCCTATCATGCTCACGCAACATATCTACTGGTTAGAAAACCTTCATTACCATCCTTGAGAAAAGCTCATGTACCAAAACTTAGGAACTTGGATGCCTTCCAAGACGGAAGCAACGATATACTTTCCCATCATCTTCAAGTTGACTCCTCTCGAGTAATCGCCCTTGACGGCAACGCTATCCCCACAGGCGATTTCATTGCTGTTGGAGGCACGCCTTTCGATTTCAGGAAAGAACAGAAGATCGGCGCTCGCTGGAACGACACCATCAACTTGTGCGGGCAGGGTACGGTCATCTTTCGTATGAATTCAGAACCCCATCATGATGCTCGATATTTATAGGATGCCAAGGGTACGATAGTGGGTGGATTTATGACCGTCCTGAGGATTCCAGGACCGGGACATCGCTTTGGAGTGACCTCTCCGGCATCAGGTGAGATCGGCGAAGCATCGGGGTAAGTATGCTTCGGCTCGCTGACCTAGCTCCGCAGGGTTGATATCTCGACGAATCAGCCGGCAGTCCAGGTCTACTCTGCTTTCTGGCTAAACACCCCTCGGAAGATAGTTCATGGAGGCCCCTCGCTCAATTATTCAAGGTGGTCCGCTGTGGCGATTGAGCAAGAGGGATATCTTGACGCGATCAACACGCCAGAATTCAATGTGGACCAAATTTGTGAGTCGTCTCCCTCGTGACGAAAGCGCTTAGCCGTAAATAACCGATGACGGCACAGATTACCCTGGCAGGGACTTTGAATGGAGCTCGACATATAAATTCTCTGTCATGAACTAAACCCCATGTATAACATTCGTTCCTGCCCCTTCGCTTGCGATTCTGAAGTATCTTGGCTGCTGCTCACTGAGCGCTTTGAGCGCTTATCTGCTTTTGACTGGTCCTTTCTAGGAAAGTATGTAACAAATGTTCACGAGACACCATTCTTTCGTTGAGAACATTCATCCTGCCATGTTATCGCAGTGTCAAAGCATTCGACCTTTCATGCCGACGTGGCCCGTGTGATCAAAGTTTCCCGGGAGACGTCTGAATAAGGCAACTCGGTCATCAAAACGCAATATTTGGTGCATGTTTCTTCTTCTCTCTCAGACTCTCTGACGTTCGGCATCGAAAGTACTTCCAAACTGTGCCTGCACTTGTGCTTATTAGGATTCAACGCCCATTCCTTTCGTCGAGAACGGTATACGGAATCAACCAAACCCACGGACCGAGGCAGTAGAGGAAGACACGATCCCAATTAAAACCTTCATATCTGATCATGGCGCCCTTCACTCCAGTATGCGACGCTGGCCGAGCCCTTCCATGCATGCGGTCATCGTTCATCTACTGAGGTATAAAATATGGACCCTTCTTCCAGCATTTCGCTCTTTGTTGCGCTCAGTTCAACGTTTTCCGAACGCCCTTGGTTTCTTCCCGTTGACTATGTCAGATGAGCTCTCGGTTCCAGAACTGACGAATATCGCAAGCCACTTGTACTTGTCCATCTTGCGCTTCGCAATAGCTGAGCAGTCCTGTTGATGAACTTTCTGTCAGAATGGCAGCGAAGATGTTCTCCCTCGCGTCGTGTGGTATGCTCGCTACTTCGGATAACCCTCAACTTTGGGCTGATCTTGGGAGTCCAGTGATGCTGTTTTATGACATCGCCCTCACTATGGACGAGGAAGTCGAGCGTGTATGGCTGAGGCGGTTTACGCCTATGACTGGCCTATGGTTTATGGTCAGTTCCTCCGTGTATTCTGCTTGACTAGGCTGACGTCATGTTGACCATAGAACCGCTATCTCTCTCCCTTGGGTTTCATCGTTGTCACGACCTGCAAGTCGCCCCGAACCTATTTTGCCCTCGTTCACGGAACTGATTGCAACTGCATCAGCGTTTCATCAACCTTGGAACAAAGAAGTCTGCCATCGCTACGTCTTGTTCCCAGAGGCTCTTAAGATTGTCACGTCTTTTACCATCGGAGGTATGTGCGAAATTCTTTCCATCCAGACAGCAGGTCTAATGCGGTTGCAGTGGTTTTCATCATTCGCCTGTACGCTATATACTCTCGTAGTATGACGGTAGCGATCTTAGGTGGGCTGTTCCTTGCAGCGGAATTGGGCATCAAGACAGTGAGCAGTTCTGACTGATGATCCCTTTCATAACGCTGATCTGTCTCTCGTTCAGTGGTCTTTCACAGATGGCACGAGTCTTGACCTACCAGATGGTAAGTACATTCGACCGTAGTTCCAAAATGTTGTTTGGTGCAGCGCTTTTCAGGTCTTGTTGGCTGTATATTAGTTGGAAGAAACGACGCGTCAGTTCTCAAACGTTTGCGTACCGTGAAGTTTTCGCCCTGACCTCGTGGTAGTCGTTTCGTCTTCACATGGGTAGCAGAACTTGCTTTCGGTATGTTCTTGGATCTCTCCTCCTTCGCATTCCCTCACCCCCTTTCCAGACTCAATCATGTTCTTTGCCACATTCTATCGTGTCGTACAACACAATCGTCTGCGTCACGGCAACGCCATGAACCTTTTGGACCTTATACTCCGTGATGGTAAGGCTCGCGTCATTACTCTGTGGCATGCAGCTTATATGGACATCCTCTGTGCTAGGAGTCATGTATTTTGCTGTAATATTTATTGCCAATCTCGTTACTGTCCTTATGTTCCTGGTGAGTGTCGGAGCCTTCCAGTGGTTTTGCTTTTGCTCTATCTGACCCCTCTTCGATCATTAGCTCGCTTCTGTAAGGCGCTCATTGATACGTAGTTCTTGATTGTCAGCTCATCGCTGTCACAGCCGGACATCAAAGCCATCAACGCGAGCTTC